AACCTTTATGAAGGCAGAAACATTTTAGCTGGATTTTAGAGGGGGAGGAGGATTTGGATAGATAAAAACAAGTGGAGGCCATCCCAGCAGGGAAAAGTGGAATGAACAAAAATATAGAGGTGGTAGAAAAGCACAAAAGTAGGGAAATTTAGCTAGAACAAAGTTGGGGGAAGGTAGATTTGGGCCAGATTGTGGAGGGTCTTAAATGCTGAGTTTATAAGTCTGGATTTTGGGGCAGCTAGGTGGTGCAGTGGATAAAGGACCAACCCTGAAGTCAAGAGGACCTGAGTTCAAATCCAGCCTCAGACCAAACACTTGACACTTAATAGCATTGTGACCCTGGGCAAGTCACTTAACCCCAACAGCCTAAAAAAAAAAAAAAGAAATAAGTCTGGATTTTACTAGGCAAACCACAATGTCTGAAATGTGAAATTTTTAGTTAAAAAGCATTTATTGGTTTAAATAAAGCACAACTCGAAACAATTCATTTTTAGTTCCTAAGGGAGAGAAGTATTCTATTCAGCATTTATTACATGCTTGCTAAGTGGGAAGATAAAGACAAAACAGTACTTGCTCTTGAACTTATATTCTTTTTTTTAAATTAATTTATTTTGATTTATCAACAATCACTTCCACATGCTTTTGAGTTTAAAATTTTTCTCCCCCTTCCTATCTCCCTCCCCAAGACGGCACGCATTCTGATATAGGCTATCCATATACATTCCTATTTAAATATATTTTCACATTAGTGATGTTGTAAGTAAGAATTAGAACCAATAGGAGGAACCACCAGAAAGAGGAAACAAAACTCAGTAGAAGAAAAAAAATAGCAAATAGTATGCTTCAATCTGCATTCAAACTCCATAGTTCTTTCTTTTGATGAGGATGCCATTTTCCATCACGAGGCCGTTGGAGATGTCTTAGATCCTTGTATTTCGGGGAAGGGTTAAGTTTATCAATATTAGTCATCACACAACGTGGCTGTTATTGTGTACAACATTCTCCTGGTTCTGCTTACTTCACTCAGCATCAGACCATAAAAGTCTTTCCAGGTTTTTCTAAAGCCAGCCTGTTCATCATTTCTTATAGCATAATAGTATTCCATTACATTCATATACCACAACTTCTTCAGCCATTCCCCAATTGATGGGCATCCTCTCAGTTTCCAATTCTTTGCCACCACAAAAAGAGCTGCTATAAATATTTTTGTACATGTGGGTCCTTTTCCCATTTGTATGATCTCTTTGAGATATAGCCTAGAAGTGCTATTGCTGGGTCAAAGAGTTTGAGCTTATATTCTGCTGGTGAAGATACAACCTGTAATTGAAAAGAGAGACTATTCCTAGAGCAGAGGTTCTTAACTTGGCATGCATCAACTTTTTTAAAAGTATTTATCTTCTGTACTTCCTGAATTTAAAGTGTTTTTCAGAGGAGTTCATGGCTTAACCATATTTATAGAGGGATTCATGGCATAAAAATGGTAGCCCCTGTCCTAGAGTATTTTCTAATTGTTGGGAGATAGGGATGGAAATCAGGACTAAATGAAGATTTGGATATGAAAAGCATGGATAAGCAGATCATAGGCTGTGCAACAATTACAAAAGGTAAATTCAGCTCAAATTGCAATGAGATGCCAATCGTGCATTTACACTAACATTATCTTGACCTCAGAGATTCTGTAATTCCAATGTACACCTAAGCAAGAATCTCCTCTACAAAAATAATCAACAAATGGTTATCTGGTTTTTGTTTTTTTTTTTTTTAAAGTTTATTTAAATGTGCCCATTGATGGAGAAAGCTCCTTCTGGGGAAGCCATTTACATTTTTGTTGAGCTCTAAAGATTAGCAGGTTGTTCTGTGTTAGGAGCTAAAATCTACCTTTCTCTACATGTTAATTTCTACTTTTATCTTCCGTCTGGGGACAAGGTGAACACGTGTAATCCCTCTTATGGATCACAGCCCTTCAATTACCTGAAGACTTATTTAGATTACCCCTAAGGCTTCTCTAGTCTAACCATGCCCAAAGTTCCTTTGATTTATGTTTATATGGTGTGATCTTTGATCCTCTTATAATCCTGAACTCCTTTCCTTTCATATGCTCCAGTTTGTCAACAACTAAGATGTGGCACCTAAAAGTAAACATGATAACTTCCTATGAAAACTAAAAAGAGCAGGGTACACTGAGACAGTCACCTCCCTCAAGCTGTACATCATATCTAGGAACATAGCCTAAATTGCATTAGACATTTTCTCATCTCTGTCAAACTGGTGACATACTGATCTTGCAGTCAGAATACATTTATTAAGTGCCTACTTTATGCTAGGCACTGTGCTTAGCACTGGGGATACAAAAAAAATTTTTAAAAAGTCTCTTCTCTCAAGGAGCTTAGAGTCTAATGGGAAAACAGCAAACAACTCTGTACAAACAAGATTTATACAGGACAGGTCATGTGGACAGTCTCAGAAGGAAGGCATTAAGATTGAACACTGGGAAGGGCTTTTTGCAGAAGGTGGGCTTTAGCTGAGACTTGAAGAAAGCCAGGGAAATGGGGAGGTGGAGATGAGGCAGGAAAACATTCTGGTAATGGAGGCTTGGGGAGGAGAGGAGCCAGTGAAAACGTGTTGGGAGATGAAATGTCATATTCAAGGAACAGCAAGGAGGCTAGTGTCACTGTACCACAGAGTATCCTGGAGGAATTCAGGGGTAAGAAGACTAGAAAGCTGAGAAGGGGCAGGTTATGAAAGGCTTTGAAAGCCAAGCAGGATTTTATATTTGATCCTGGGGGCAATAGGAAGCCACTAAAGTTTACTGAAGGGGAAGAAGGATGATATGGTCAGACCTGAGTGATCAGTTTGAGGAAGATCGGTTTGATAGCTGAGACTGAAAATAGGGAGACCAACCAGCAGGACCCTCAGACCTCTTTTACATGAACTGTTCTTTAGCAACATGTCCTAAGTCCCATAGTAGTGAAGTTGATTTTAATGCTATTAATTTATTTATCCCTGTTAAATATCATCTTATTCTCATCAGTCTATAATGTTAGCTTTCATTTTTTGAATCCTCTCATCTAGTGAATTACTATTTCTCTTTGAGTCATGTGCATATTTGACCATATTATTGAAAAATGGAATCTGATTCCAGCAGCCCTAGAAAGCCTGCTTTTCACCTTTCCAAATCCTGTCCATCTGTCTAAATTGAACCATCTTGAAAAGCAATCTGGAATTATACCCAAAGAGTTATAAAGCTATTTTTGTACCCTTTGACTGAGCAATACCACTATTTGGTCTGTTTCCCAAGGTGATCAGGGAAAAAGGAAAAGAACCTATATATTCTAAAATATTTCTAGCAGCTCTCTTTGTGGTAGAAAAGAACTGGAAGTTGAGGGGATGCCCATCAATGGCTAAACAATTGTAGTATATGATTGTGATGGAATACCACTCTGCTGTAAGAAATGATCAGCAGATAGACTTTAGAAAAACACTGAAAGACTTGCATGAAATAAGGAATGAAATGAGCAGACCTAAGGGAATGTTTTATACGATAACAGCATTATTGTTCCAAGAATAACTGAAAAACTAAGTTATTCTGAGCATTATAAAAACTCTATACATACTCTATAAATACTATAGTGGAATTCTGAAGGAAAATGCAAACCATTTCCAGAGAAAGAACTTATAAAGAGGAGTATAAATAGAATGGCACTACATATATTAACATATATATATAGAGAGAGAGAGTGTGTGTGTGCGTTAAATGGTGTAGGTTGTGGTGTAGATTGTAGTATAGGGTATAATACAGGCATCTAGTGTAGGGTGGTGAAGGAGAGAGACAATACAGAACGTAAAATGGAACAGATAAATAATTTTTTGAAAAAAGGAATTGAATAATTTTGATGTATACTTGGAAAATTCTTTTAAGGCATTGGTTTGCCCTCTAAATTCAATTTTTTAAAATAATCAACAAATGTTAAGTATAGTGAGATTTTGTATTCTTTAGTCAATTGTGTGATAATAAAGATGTGGTCTAAACAGCTGATTTTCCTGTCTGTGTTCTCTTTAGTTTCTATCTCCAATTTAAGCATATTTAGGACAGTAATGTTTGAGTCTTAAGTGTTGCAGCTCTGCTTTCTTTCTTTCAGCTGAAATAAGTTGTTAAAAATCTTTGCAGATTTTATCCATTTTTCTTCTGTTTGCCATCCAACATTCCATTTTCATCCTTCAATGCCCTCAGGTTGACATTGCTTAGTTCTCTCTCTCCAGTTTTCTTTAAACTGACTTCACCCTCCACTGCCTCTCTCTGTTTTGGTAGATGATAGTGCTTATAATCTTCTAAATTCTTTTCCATCATTTTACCAACAGGTTTCTATTCTAAAGTGGTACTGCCTTTAGCTTCCATAGCTCTCCTATTGGCAAGTCAAGTTTTTATTTAATAAGCCACTATTTAGCGTCTTTTCTTCCTTGTTAGGGCAAGTAATTTACATTAAACTTATGGATAAAATTATTTTAGTTGATATCTGCACTTCTATCCATATGTCATTTTTTGCCATCAGTAATTTGGCTAAATAGGTCAAAATAGATTTGATTTCATTGAATAGGGATAGTAAAAAGACCGCACCTCTGATTTCTTTGATACAGGGTACTCTCAGATGAGGGAATTCTCTCTACCAATAGAGATCATTGCCTGCTCCTCAACATAGAACCTTAGAGAGCTACCTAGAGCACTGACTTGGCCAGGCTCTAACAGCCATTATGTGTCAAGAGATGGAATTTAAACCTAGGTCTGCCTGGTTCTGAGGCCAACTCTATGTACTTTATCTCTCTCACAGTCTTTCACTGTTCTTTGGATATAAGATAGCAGCACAGGTAACAATAACAAACATCTTGACTTTCAACAAAAAATTATCAGGTTAAAAAGTGAAAGACAAGCTTCTAAATTATTTTTTGACATTTAATAAATCAGTTTCATAACAAAAAGTCTGACCCTTACTTTCTCTTTTCAGGTTGGCTGACCACCAGCCTCAAGAAAAATTATGACAGGAGGAGGGTAGACATAACTCCTTTAGAACAAAGAAAGTTGACTTTTGATACCCATTCAGTGGTTCAGGACTTGGAAAATCATGGTGAGAAACCAATTATTGAATACATCCTTCAAAGGTGAAATAGCAGTATTATTTTATTTATCTTATCACACTGATTACGATTTAGAGTGTCATTTATAAGCTGCAAAAAGTTATAGTATGGCACAAAGTCTTATTTTTTCTTATAAAGTTCTATTCTGATAAGGATTGATAGATTTAAAAATACTAAAGCCTATTCTCTGCCTAAGGGATTTGAAAAAGCCCAAGCAGAAACCATTGTATTAGCATTAATAATTCTGTCAAATGTCAGCCTGGACACAATCTATAAGGAGATGGTCACTCGAGCTCAACAGGTAATTGGTTATGTATTGTTTATAATATGTTAAGTTTAAAAAAAAAAAAACAAAACGGATCACATCTGCTTGTTTTTGGGTCTTTCCTATAAGGCCTCAGGTACTTTTTCTTCCTGGAAAATGCAAATCATTCATCCAGGTGGTTAAGGCAGTAAAACAGACCTATAGATTTTCAGTGGTTCTTCAATTTCAGAAGTGGTTCAGATGACATATAGAAATTTGTCTGGGGACAAAATTATAATTTGAATTGAAAGAGATTTTGCAAATCATATAATACTGAACCCCTACAGCACCCCCATTTTATATTTGTCAACAGTAAAGGCCAAAGAGGTTAAATGGCTTGCTTAATATCACCTAACTGCTGTAATTACAACGACCAAGTCTAGCCCCCAAAAAGGGGTGAGAAAATCTACTTCCTTGCAGTTCTTATAAAAAGTGGTAGACTAGAGGTTGGACTTGGTTAATATTTTAGTTGATTTGTTCAACTGCCTTTTTTTCTCTCTTTGATTCTTAGTTAGAAGGACTGGCTTGCTGAATAGAGGAGGGCACTTAGTAAATGATCACTTCACTTTTTTGTTCTTTCAAAGATCACACAGCTAATCTCTCTACCCAGGAAGTCTTTCATATTTTAAGAGATCTTTCCCTGTACATGTTTCCCATCAGTTAAATCTTTCCACCTGCTTTTCATAGAATTTTAGAGCTGGAAGGAAACTTAGATATCATCTAATTCAAATGTCTAGAGGCTAAGTTAAGGTAAATAGCATATACATCTGATTTAATTACTTTATAAGTACTCATCATAACAAATGCCCATTGATATATCCAAATTAAAATAGGCACTTGACCCAGTAGCAGTAAATTTTATACAGGTTGATTAGCTAAACTAATCACTGAACTAACTGATGATATCATCTATGGCATGATTTGTTCTGTTAGCTGTGACTTAATTTGTTCTGACTCAATAATAGAATCTATCTTCACTTATAGTTATATTTCGAAGATCATTTTAAAATGAATTCTTACCTCCTCAGAGCATTAATCCATACCAGAAATAGTGAAGTTTTATGCTATAGCATGCAGTTTCTCTCTCTCTCTTTTTTTCTTTTTTTTGGCAAGGCAATCAGGGTTAAGTAACTTGGCCATGGTCAAACAGCTAGTAAGTGTTAAGTGCCTGAGGCTGGATTTGAACTCGGGTCCTCCTTACTGCAGGGCCCGTGCTCTATCTGCTGCACCACCTAGATGCCTCTATAGCATGCAGTTTCAAACTAAATGACATTTCAGTACTTTAATGGACCATAAGAGTACCCTGCTTTGGGAAGTTTTCATTTTACTTTTCTGGCTAAAGAGACTCAGAATTGAAAGCCTTCAGACCCTGGATTTAAGTTGCTTTTGAATTTATAAATGTATTATTTTAGTTTAACAAATTTTTTTCCACAATTTTCCACTGCATGAGGAAATGTGATATAATGGGAATAGTACTGACCTTAGAATAAGAAAGACATGAAGGTCTGACTCCTCCCTCAGACATGACCTGTGTGATTATGGGCATGTCCCCACCTCTAAACCTCAGTTTACTCACCTGGAGAATGAAGGGAACACTGATAGTACCTGTCTCACAGAGATGTCATCAGGATCAATAAGGAACTGAGGTAGTTTGCCTGGGAGAGGAGAGGGAAGCTCAGGAGAGTCATGAGATCTATCTTCAAAGATTAAAATGGGAAATTAAAATGGGAAAGGGCTTAGAGTGGTGATGCTTGGCTCAGAGACCAGAACTGGGAGGAGTCGTGGGTAGAAGCCACAAAAAGGTAGACTGAGGTCTGATAGAATAAACATTTACTAACAGAGTGCCCCAGAAGTAGAATGGGCTGGCTGCCTCTGTGGGAAGTATGCTCTCCCCCACTACAGACCTTTCTTCAGGAAAAGGTGGTGTGGCCATGTGTCTCATATTGTTGAGGAGATTCTGGTTCAACTATAATCTCTGAGGGCCTTTCCAGCTATGAGAGTCTGAAATCAATTGAGAAAATCATCATCATCATTATTAATAATCATTATAGAGGAAACTTAGCTCCCTACAGTGCTGAGAAGTTTTGGAGGAACTTTGACGAGCTATTGCTGTCTTCTAGAAACCTCCTTACAACACCAACAGGGACTTAAAACAACTTCATAAAGAGCTCATGCACAGGGGACACTCAAATGTTGTTAAATGAATGAAAATTCCCTTAACCTTCTATGTGCAGAAGACACTATTCTATACTAAGAGGATGCTGCTTCTGGGGTTTAATGGTAGTTGTGCTAGGCACAATTTGAATCTTTCAAGTGGTTTAGTTCTAAAAAGTTGCACCTTTTCTCCCTTCTCTCCCTCCCCCATAAGCATGTAGATCAGAACAGCTGGGTGGCGCAGTGGATAGAGCACTGACCCTGAAGTCAGGAGTACCTGAGTTCAAATCCGGACTCAGACCAAACACTTGACACATACTAGCTGTGTGACCCTGGGCAAGTCACTTAACCCCAACCGCCTTCAAAAAAAAAAAAAAAGTAGAGGAAGGAGTAAGATGAGCAGTCCAAATCCAGAACTGTCAGAGACGTTTTATGATTACTCTCTGGAACTGTTGCATAAGCCTAGCTCTCATGAGCTGTGGCATGTTTGAAGTAGTTCCGTTAGGATTGCTTAGTCCCTGTGCCTAACAAAGCAGCCATCAAATATTACTTTCCTGACTTTAAACAGTGACCACAGCCTTTTCCTAAAGGATTAGGGCTGCTGATAGTTGCTTTCCTCTCTGTTTGTTGAATGAATGACAGACAGTTCCTTTATACTGAGGATATGTAAGAATATTCTTAACATTCCTTCACAATGCTTAACAATAATAATACTTAATAGAATCCTCCTCTAGCTGTCTCTTTTCGAAGTTATGTCACCACCTGCTTTTCTTTCGATTGAGAAAAATGAGTGGGTTTTTGTAATAGGCTACCAGACTGCTGAATTTTAAGAAAGTTGAGTAGTAGGAGAATGGTCATGTTTTTATTAGCAAAGCTTCTTTATACCACTTTTATATTTTATTTTAAACTATTACTTTTTCTACTACTCTTTTTAAGTGGTATCTCTAGCTAGGTGAAACCTTATAAATGCCATGTGACTTCCTTGAAAGTGGATTTGGAACCACCTTTTAAAATATGTTCTCTCCACTACAAAGCATAGTATAAGGATGCCTAATAAATGACCCATAAATTATCCTGCTGAAATGATGCCCAAGTTGATTAGGCAAACACATTCCAACCAGTTTTGTTTAATTACCAGCCTTGGGATTTCCTATTATGTTAACTGAAAAAATATCACAAATTCATGAGCCATGGGTTGCAACTGGATTTATTACCAGAGAAATTAATGTGCATGTGCAACTCTATACAGGTGCAAGGAGTTCACAAGCCAAACAGAAGCTTGCATATTTATGAAAATGCAACAAAGAGGGTAGCAGTGGACAGCAGTGGACTCCCAAATAGGAGTGGCATGGGAGGAAGAATAGAGCAGTAGGGGGGGGGAAAGGATTAATCCCCTCCTGAAGGGGAGGAGAAAGAGCAAAGAAAGGGAGGGGGAACTTAGGGCAAAAGCCACCCTTGGGAACTGCTAAACTATGAAGATTTGATGGTCTGCATATCTACAAGGGTCTCAGCTGCACAGTTTTTCAGTCTGGTGTAACCTGACTGGCACCTCCCTTGACTCCATGGACACACAGGGAGTCCACCCTGGCATGTAAACAACAAATTATGTCAGTTCAGTGGGGTCTTTCTTCTTGACATGTTTAAAGCCTCCTGCATTCTCAGAGTCCAGTGTGTCTGGAAAATATGGCTACTCAAGAAGACAAGTTCATGCAGCCCCTTAACACCTATAGATAATAACTCTTTCTGTAGTACTTTAAGCTGGACAAAGTGCTTAACCTCACAACCCTGTGAAAAGTAGGCAGTACAAGCATTTCTATTATTATTTTATGGATAAGGAAACTCAGGTTTAGAGAGTTTGTGACTTGTGTATGGTCAGCTACTAAGTATCTGAATATGGATTCAAATCTAGGGCTCCTGAATCCAAGTCCAGTAAGCTTTACTTTTATTGCCTTTCTCACCTCTGAAAGGATTGTACTTAAAGGTAAAGAAAGGAATTTCAAAATTTTTCTCTCATACTCTGGAAAACCTAGCCATTTTTCTCAGTTTCTGGGAAATATTCTTACCTTTGGCATTTGTTCCCCAAATATACAACAATTTTCATATTTGTTACTGTTTTCCAGACTAGTGAAACAACATTGTGACTTTAATATATGTTGATACATTACTTTCATTTCCATGAATACCATAAGGCCTAGCATTTCTTCATTCAGTATGTAAATACTGTATTATTTCTTAGGAAATTACTGTCCAGCAAGTAATGACACATTTGGACTCAATCCGGAAAGATATGGTCATCCTAGAGAAAAGTGAATTTGCACATCTGAGAGCAGAGAATGAGGTAACATAAGCTTTTAAATAATGAATGCATTATACTGAATACATTATATCACAAAATTTGCTGTTTTAAAATGTTTTAACAAAATAGATGGCAAAATTATATTTGATGCTTTAAAATTATTTTAAAAATTTCACAAGAATATTTTATAAGAACACCTGAACTTTTATGTTTAATTCATAGTTGTTGGGAGAGATACATACATATATACATACACATACACACACATACACATACATATGTCTGTAGTTACAATGAATGAAGTTTCTCCTGCCCTGTGTACATTTCTTACTAAACCAATACCAAAAAAATCTGTCAAGATCCTGTTCCAAATTCATTTGAATTTTATGCCTGAGACATTTTAGTTTTCCATTAATTGTCTCTGTTCCCAAAAGAGGAAAAGGATTTCTTTTACTTAGCAGCTTGAGAATTTCATTTCAAATAAAATAATACAAATTGTCTCTCATTTAAAAAAAGATCACAGTAATTTAAATAGATTAAGTGTTCAGATATAAATCTAGCTTTTAAGGTAAATCTAATTTGGGATTCTAAGAATGAGCTATCTTCAGAGAGCTGGGCCATCCCTAGTTATCCTGATCTGTATATGGCCACTGGACCCAGATGGCTCCGGAGGAGAAAGTGAGGCTGGTGACTTTGCACAGCCCTCCCTCACTTAAATCCAATTCAATTGCAAGTCATGACATCACCTCCCTGACGTCATGGTCCTCTTTGAGAACAAAGGACAAACCACAACTGTGATCTTCACAAAATTTCTATGGTTTCTATTTTCATCATAGGGCAAATCTATTGTACAAATCCACAGATTGCACAGATTTGTAGTAATCTTATGTTTCAGAATTTCTAGGTCAGTTGGAAGATAGTCTTTTGATTATTACTAACATTCACTGGTCCCTTTTATACCTAGAAATTGAAAATTGAATTGGACCAACTTAAACACGAGCTAATAGTAAGTCAAGCATTTTCTTTTTGCCATACAAGAACAAATTCTAAATTCCAAAAGGAGCAAGATGTCATTTTAAAATATATTTTTCATTTTCTTAACAGAATGAAACTATTCGAATCAGAGCAAATAATAAATTGGATATAAACCTAGAGAGGAGCAGAGTGACAGATCTGGTAATATTCATTTAAGATTTCTTTCTTAGTTACTTGTTCTTTTTCATTTCTTCAGTTTTTAATCACTTTCTGCCTTAAAATTTTCAGTTTACACATCAAAAAAAGAAACTTAGAGAAGCAACCACGGAATTGAGCAAAAGGGTAAGTTAGGGTATATTTCCTTATTAATTATGAGTATAGCTTTCTTGGATCCATTAACTATTTGTTGTTCCCTTCTGGGATTAGGATTCCTTAAACTTAATTATCTAAAACTCTTTGTCCAAAACGGGATTCATTATCTTTCCTCCTAAACCCTCCCCCCACTACTACCATTCCTGTTACTGCAGAGGGCAACATCATCCTCCCAGTTCCTCAGGCTTAAAACCCAGGAGTTATCCTGGATTTCTCACTATCTCTCAAACCCCTACTCCAAACTGTCACCAAGATCTGTTGATTTCACTGTTGCGACATCTCTCCAATATATCCCCTTCTCTCCTCTGACACTGCCATCATTCTGGTGCAGGCCCTCATTACCCTGTGCCTGGACTATTCCAATAGGCCACTGGTGGGTCTGCCTGCCTCAAGTCTTTCCCCACTCCAGTCTATCCTCCATTCAGCCACTAAAGTGATTTTACAAAAGGCACAGGTCCAATCATGTCACCTCCTACTCAGTAAACTCCAGTGACTTCCTATTACTTCCAGGAGAAAATACAAAATGCTCTGTTTAGCATTCAGAGCCCTTTATAACCTAGGCCTCTCCTACCTTTCCAATCTTCATACACCTTATACCCAACATGGACTCTTCAGTCCAGTGACACTGGCCTCCTGGCTGTTCTGCAAATAAGACCCATCTCTCAGTTCCAGGCATTTTCTCTGGCTGTCCTCCATGTTTGAAACACTCTCCCTCCTCTACTGTAACTATTCACCTCCATGGCTTCCTTTACATCCTAACTAAAATTCCACCTTCTACAACCCCTCTTAATTCCAGTGCCTTCCCCTTATTATTTCCTATTTATCCTATATATAGCTTGCTTTGTGTATATTTGTTTGTATGTTGTCTCTCCCGTTAGACTGTAAGCTCACTGAGGGCAGGGACTCTCTTTTGCCTCATTTTGAACCTCCAGCACTTAGCACAGTGCTTGGCACAGAGTAGGTGCTTAATGAATGTTTCTTGATTGGTTGGTTGGTTGATTTAGCCATTCCCCAATTGATGGGCATCCTTCACTTTCCAATTCTTTGCCACCACAAAGACAGCTGCTATGAATACTTTTGTACATATGGGTCCTTTTCGTCTTTCTTTGATTGGAGTACATTTGAACTCACCCTGAACCTTAAGAAACAAAAGCCCTTGACAGTATTCATGCCTCCAGTATTTTGGTATTTTTACCCTTTTAGGCTATTATTCAGGTATTTTTTACACTTTTTTCTTTTACCTTTTCATTTTCACTCCAGCAAGAAAGACCTGACTGCCTCTTCCTTGTGACTCATCAGGAGAAAGGTCTCATTTGCCCTTCTGAGTTCTCTTTTCCCAGCCAGCTTCTTGGTGCATTTAATGACAAAGAGTTGCTACTGGTCTGCAAAAAACTTTCTCCTCTTTCCTTCAGCTCCACAGTGTGTACACCCTTGCAGCAGGTGGCTGAGCCTCCTACTTCACTAAGGAAATTGCTACTACTAGTCTTTTGTTCTTTTCTCACTCCTCATTTTCCTTGACGTCTCTGTAACTTTTAATACCATTGACCTCTTCTGATTCTCTTTCCATTTGTCTGATCATTCCTTCTCATTCTCCTTTGCTGAATCATCATCCATCTCTTGCCTTAGAGTATTTGTTTCTTGAGGATCTCTTCCCCTCTCCAGGGTTCAAGGGCCATCTCTACATAGATAACTCTGAAATCAGCATGGAGCCCTAATCTCTTTCCTGAATCCCAGCTCTTGCTTATCAGCTGTCTGCTGACCATCTCCTGGAGAGCCAGGGTGCAGGGCTGAGTGAGGTGCTGCTCCTACTCTATTCTGCCCCGCTCACACCACATCTGGAATGCTGTATTGCTCCTGCTGCCACGTTTTTAGGAGGACATTGACAATCTGAAGCACATCCAGGACTAGTGAACAAGGCTGGCAAGGGGACTGGAGAACATTCCAAAAGAAAATGGTTCAAATTGAGAACTAGGGATTTTAACCAAAAAAGAACAGACTTATGGTGAAAGAATGAGAGACTTGATTGCAGTCTTCAAGTATTTGAGGTTTTATATTCTTCTGTGTAGCCTCAAAGGGCAGGAATAGGCTTAATAGGCAGAAGTAGCAATGAGGCAGAAGTTCTTCACAGGTCAGAACTGTCCCCAAACTGAAATAGGCTGCTGCAGGAGGTAGTAAATTTTCCCTCAATGGAGGCTTTCCAGAGAAGGCTGGACAACCTTGTTAGCCATGTCATAGAGCAGGTTCTTGGTCAGGTATGAGTTGAATTTTTAAACTCTGTGATTCTGTGAAGGGATTTGTCCAAATGTTCTAGGTTTTGTGTTCCATGAGAGTAGGTACTATGTCTTATTTAATCTTTTTCTCTCCTATCACACTGCTTTGCATTTAGGAGACACATTCAGTGGCATTAGAAGACACACAGCTGCTCAGTGGCAGAAAAAAGACTCAGGTTTCATGACTTCCAGTGGAGGATTTGTATCATTATACCTGCTGACTCAGAGTACCTTGAGGCAGGGGAAGGACTCTGTTACCTAATCTTGGCATTTCCCCCAGCACTTAGCATGCTGAACTGTACAAAGCAGCCACTTCCTAAATATGTGTCTTGTACAGTATTTATCAAATGTTCTCTTTGTTAGTGTTACTCTGACTTTTCACAGTACTTAGCTTTCCCTAGGCTATGCTTTTTTTTTTTTTCTTAAGGCAATTGGGGTTAAGTGACTCGCTGAGGGTCACACAGCTAGTTAAATGTCAAGTGTTTGGTCTGAGGTCAGATTTGAACTCAGGTCCTCCTGACTTCAGGGCCAGTGCTCTATCCACTGCACCACCTAGCTGCCCCCAGGCTATGCTTTTAATGTAAGTTAACCTTAAAAAAAAAATTCTTTTTTTCTGTGTCAAAGAGTTAATTGTGGATTATGACATAATTTGTTTTAAAATAGCATACAGGGACTGAATTAATAACTTTTTTCTATTTCAGGATACCCATATCAAAAACGTTATTTCTGAGACTAGTGATAAGATTGCCATTGAAAGTGCTTGCCTAAAAACACTGATAGAGTCAAACAAACTTGAGACAATTCATTATCTTGCAGGTAAGTACTACTTTTAAGGTTTATAGAGTGCTTCTATTACAACAACCCTTTTAAGTAGGTGGTAGATACATTATTATACCCTTTTTTTATAGAGGAGGAAACTGAGGCTCAGAGAGGTCAGATAACTTGTTCAGGGCATCTTAGCTCATAAGGGGTGAAACCATGATTCGACTTCATACCTTCTGGTGCCAACCTAGCTCTCTTTCCCCATGCAGTGCTTCCTCTGTATAAAGCACATAAAGGTCCAGATGTGGCACTTAAGGAGGCAGCTTGCCGATCCAGAAAAGAATCACCAGTGATGGGTATGTGGCCCTAAGGTGCCACAATGTGACATTTACTTGTAGCTCCCCTGCCACATTCATGTTTAATGCAGCTGGCAGATTCACAGCAGCCATTGCAGCCCATGTTCAGAGAAACTAAATACAGACAGGAGCTATAGACTCCTCATACATTCCCCTTTTCTAGCAGCTTCTGTAGTTTTTACATTACACATTGCCAACCATATAACGGGCAATGTGGAGGATAGAGTGACTCCAATTTCTCACGAATGCAAAAGATTGCCAGCCTGGACTGCTGTTTCTGGGGAAGTTTTTCCTTCAACAAGAGTTTCATTCATTTACACTGTCTGTATAACATTCTGTTAAGAATTGGTCAAGGTAACAGAGTAGAAGCAAAGAGTGATGTTAATAGGCCATGACTGCTTTGCATGTGATTTTTAACAACACATGTGGTAGAGAGGATAAAGGTGGATTCTTGAAGTTTTGCTATGTAATGTGACTCCTTTTTCTTTTTTAAAAAGCATTACTGCTTAGCGGCAGCTAGGTGGTGCAGTGGATAAAGCACTGGCCCTGGAGTCAGGAGGACGTGAGTTCAAATGCTGCCTCAGACACTTGATATTTACTTACTAGCTGTGTGACCCTGGGCAAGTCACTTAACCCCAATTGTCTCGCCGGGAAAAAAATAAAGGAAAAAGCATTACTGTTAATAAAATCAAAACCCTCTTAAGTTTGTTCTCTCCTCTGAGAGGGTTATTTACTTGCTGCATCCCAAGGATATTGTATATGGCTCACCCTGAGAATTAGAGTCATAAATGGTGGAGTTTCAAAGTTCTGAGTTGAGAGGGAACATTCCTCCAAAGAGAAATGGAGTCGTAACGCAAAGGAATGATAGGTACTACTACCTGTACTGATATCCCAATGAAAAACGCCACTAGAATCCATGTTAGGGTACTGTACTTGAGTTCTGAACAAGAATATTTTTGTATAAGAACAGAACTCTACATCTGTGGAGTAGTATAAGTTTTTGACATTTTGGGGTGATTTGGTGTTTGGATTGTGTGACAGTCCCTTGTAGGAGTGAGCTATTTTCCCTCAGCTTGCCACCCAGGCTCTAGCTCTTGGGTTGTAGGGATAGGTACATTTTTCTTTTAATTAAATTTCTATGTGTAGACTAAAGGTGACAGCTTTACTTTAGAAGATCACTCCTTGGCATTGACTCTGAAATATTTTACTTGTCTAAAATTGAGAAGCTTGCATCATTGATAAACATTTGTGAATTACGTGTATATAATTCTTCCACACTTTACATATTTTCTTTGGGCACCTTTTGCTATTTTTTCCTTTCATTTTGCCTAGGAAGATTTGTTTGAAGTAGTATCAAGGACTCTTCTCTTTCCTCACCATCCAAATGTTGTCATCCCTCAGACTGACATGCTTTTTTAAAAGACAGTTATAGTGAAAGGGTAACATAATCCCTTGGGAAAACCCTCTACTCCTTTCCCCTTTCCTTCCCTATCCTTCCCTCAAACACTCAGGAGAGTTGTTATTAATGAGTCTTTGAATTTAGTAAGACCAGGAGTTCCTAAGATTGGTGGAAATAATTAAACAGTAATTCTTTCCACTTACATATTTGGAGGGCATACCTTAGCAACTTCATTCCTTCTGAACACAACCCTAAATTATCGGTTAAAAAGCATGAACTCTAAAGCTCATCTGCTTAATTCTGAAGAAGAATTCTTAGAATGTCATTGATTGAGCCTATTTGTTTTTATTTAACAATGGTATCTTAAAAGACTCATTTCCTAGCCCATAGAAGATGAGAAATAGCAAATTAAAAAGAGGTGGGAGGAGTATTCAGAGCAGGCATTCTTGAGGGCCCTCAGGTGTGAGAGCTAACGGTGAAGGAGATGGAAAATTCAGGTAACACTAACTGCTGTGTATTATAATAATGTTAACTATGCATTTCCAAGAAGCCAAGTTAGACTTTATATGCTCTGTTTAAGAAGGAAAAGAAGCTGTACATTTTGAAAATAGTACATTTTAGAAATAACTATCAAAAACAACAACTGAGATGTTAACATACCTTACCTTTGCAAAACATTTTATATATTTCAAAGTGCTTTCCCATAAAGAATCTTATTGTTGAAAAGCACCTCAGAAGTCATCATATCCAACCTGTGTTCAAACACAGATCTCAACAACTTGATGACAAGGACCCTTGTCAGGCTTGTACATCACCCACATGGTCCTTCCTGCTGCTCAGATGAGTATGTGGAATATGGATTAGAAGGCTAGTTTGTTAACTTTTGGGATTTTTGCTTCCCGTTTAGATATAAGATAAAATTGCTTTTGCTGTACCCCTGCAAAAGTGGCCATGACTGCTCTACATGCTATAAAAATAATTTATTCTTTTTTACAGCATCTATTTTTACTTGCCTGGCAATAGCACTAGGATTTTACCGCTTCTGGAAATAATAGCAGCTCTTCAGTATCACCACCAGCAGGAGCAAGGCTGCTTTTTGTTACATTTGTAGGTCTTTGCTTTTGTATAACACTCTGGAGACAGATTCAGTTTGGCCTGTCTCAGTTCCTGAATAAATCTATTTGCCTTTATTCCCTGATGCCAAAAAGCTGTCATTTAGAACCTAATTAAAGTGTGGTGGAAAGGTATTTTACGTTTATACTTGCAGGTAGTTTACAGAATTGGAACCATATAGTTTGCTCATTGTGTCCTTACATACCCTGTGCATTAAAGAAATTTGGGCATGGATCCATCTTGGACTGCTCAGTTTTGGCTACATACAAGTAAACTACTTTCTAAACTTAAGTACTCAGTATATCTATATTCATGTTTCATAATGACTTGATCCTATTTGTGGGATTTTTGTTTTTTTACTAAGCAGTAAGAAAAAGTCTTATTTTCATGTTTATATGTTTAAGTAAAATAAAAGATTATTATAATTTAATTTACTGAATTTTAAGTCTTAACACCTGAATCTAAAATATACTCTTTGTGACCAAAGAATTTTTAATGTATGTTCTAATTAATATGTGTTTGTACCACTTTTAAAAAAATCTTTCCACCTTTCTCCATTCTAGAGAAGGCTACAATTAAACACAAATATACACATACACACACATATGTGCATATATGTATATATACATATAGGGACACATATACATATATGTAAGACCATAATATGCATATTTCTCTGTCAGTTCTCTTTCTGGAGGTGGATAGCATCTTCTTTTATAGGTCCAAGTCTTTCCATCTTTTTCTAAAATCAACCAGCTCATCATTTCTTACATCACAGTATTATTCCATTACAATCAGATACCACAGCTTGTTTAGCTGTTCCAAATTGAAAGGTAGCTATCATTTTAGCCAATCTGATAGGTGTGAGATGATATCTCAAAGTTGTTTTAATTTGCATTTCTCTAATCAGTAATGATTTAGAGCATTTTAATATGACTAAACTCAACTGTAAATATGACTATAACTGTAGTTTTGATTTCTTCATCAAAAAACTGCCTGTTCATATCATTTGAGTATTTATCAATTGGAGAATGACTCATATGCTTATAAATTTGACAAAGTTCCTTATATATTTGAGAAATGAGACCTTTATCTGAGAAACTGTCTATGTAAGTTTTTTTTTCCAATTTTCTACTTTCCTTCTAATCTTGGCTACATTGGTTTTATTTGTACAAGAACTTTTTAATTTAATACAGTCAAAATTATCCATTTTACACCTCACAATACTCTCTATCTCTTGTTTCTTCAGATTGTTCTATCGACGAGTCTCATAGCTAATATGTTCCATGTTCTTCTGATTTTCTTGTGATATCTTGCTTTATATCTAGGTTGTATATCCATTTTGATAAATGGATCAAAATATTGGTCTATGCCCAATTTCTGCCAGCCTGCTTTCTAGCTTTTTCAACATTTTTTGTTACCAAATAATGAATTTTTATCCCCAAAACTTAAATCTTTATATTTGCCAAACGCAAGGTTATTGTAACTTCTCTGTATTATATGTCTCCTCTGTTCCACTGATCTACTTTTCTTCTGCTTAATTAATGCCTTATCATGTAGTTTGAGGTCTGGCACAGCTGAAACTCCTTCCTTTACTTGTTTTTTTTTTACTTTTTTTCATTAGTTTCTTTGACATTCTTGACCTTTTGTTTTTCTAAATGAATTTTACTATTTTTTCTAACTCAGTAATAACATTTTAATAATTTAGTTGGGATTGCATTGAATAAATAGATTAGTTAGGTAAAACTGCATTTTTATTATTGGCTTTGCCTACCCATGAACAATTATTATTTATTCAATTATTTAAATCTGACTATTTATTTGTATAAAGAGTGTTTTATAATTCATGTTCATGTTGTTCCTAGGTCTGTTTTGGCAGGAACACTCTCAGGTATTTTATACTGTCTACAGTTATTTTAAATGGTCTAAAACAATTTTGAATAACATTGTTGACACATAGTGTAGCTTCCCTGTTTATTTCTTTTAATTAAATCTATTTTAGCTTTAACTCTGAGATCATAATTGCTACCCCTGCTTTTTTTACATCAGCTGAAGCATAATAAATTCTGCCTTAGCCCTTTATTTTAACTCTGTGTGTCTCTCATTTTTTATTGTGTTTCTTGTAACTAAGAATTTTAATCCATTCTGCTATCCCTTTGTTTTATGGGTAAATTCATCCCATTCACATTCGGAGTTATAATTACTAGTTGTGTATTTTCCTCCATGCTATTTTTCTTCATTTATCCTCCTTGCCCTACTTACCCTATCCCTCCTCACCCATATAATTTACTTCTAACTACTACCTTGCCCTCCTATTCCTTAATCTATTCACCCTTTTATGAGTCCCTCCCATATCCTCTGATAAATCCTAATTCTTAATCTGCACATCCTCCTAAAAGTCCCTCTGTTATCCTGTCCCCTCACCCTCATTTCGTTATAAATTTAGAAGACATTTATACCTTTCTAGATGTAGATGTTGTTCCCTCCTTAACTCATTTCTGTTGAGAGTAAGTTTCCAGCACTACCAGTCCTTCACCCCCACTTGCTTCTTCTGTATCAGTTCTTCCTGTCACTCCTCATTTGTATGAGATAATTGCCCCTTTTTTACCTCGCCTTACCCAGTTTCATTTTTTAGAATCATGCCATCATACTCATCTCAGCCCAAGCCTTCCTTTCAAACTACCCAAGTAATGACATAGTCATAAGGGTACTGATAACATTTTCATATATACCTTATATGTCAAATTTTCAATTAAGTTCTGGTCTTTTTGTCACAAATATCTGAATGTCTTTTAGTTCATTAAATATCTTTTTTTTTTTCCCCATTCAGGATTGTACTTAACCTTGCTGGGTTAGTTGTTTTTGGTCACAACTCCAGCTCTTTTGCTCTTTGAAATGTAGTGTTCCAAGACCTATGGTCTTTTAATGTAGAAGATGCTAGGTCTTATGTGATCTTGATTGTAGTTCTGCAGAATTTAAATTATCTTTTTCTTGTTGCTTGTAATATTTTTTTCCTTAACCTGGAAGCTTTGAAACTTAGCTATGATATTCCTCTAAGTTTTCCTCCTAGATCTGTTTTAGGTAGAGATCAGTGGATTTTTTCTATTTCTGGTTGTAGAACAGACCTGCATAACTTAGCAGTAGGTAGAGGCCAAAATTAAAATAGGCTAACCTTCTTCAGGCCGCAGACAGGATAGACTAGACACAGACTGACAATGTTTGGTTGCTATGGGTCACATGACAGCCTCCTGAAATCCTGTGGCAGCCTACCTGCGGGCCATATGTTGTGCAGGCCTGTTCTTGAACTTCAAAGTAATTTTTCTTAATAATTTCTCATATTGTATCAAGATTCTTTTTTTGATCATAACTTTCAGGTAGTCTAATAATTCTTATATTGTCTTTCCTCGTTCTGTTTTCCAGATTAGTTGTTCTAATGAGATGTTTCACATTCTCTTCAATTTTTTCATTCTTTTGATTTTATTATTTCTTGGTGTCTTATAATGCCATTAGCTTCTCTTGCCCAGTTCTAGTTTTCAAGGAGTCATTCTCTTCCTTAACTTTTGGATCTCTATTTGAAGTTGGTTGACTTTCTTTTTATAATTTTCTTGATTTTCTTGAATCGTTCTTATTTTTTTTCCCCTAACTTTTCCTTGATCTCTTGTTTGAATTTTATAGTCCTTTTTAAGTTCTTCCAAGAACTCTTTTTTGGCTTGTGACCATTTGAAAAAGGAGTGGCTTTTAACTTCACTATCTTCCTTTGAATATAAACCCAGATCTTCTCTATCTCCGTAGTAGATGTCTGTGGTTGGATCTTTCTCCTTTGCTTACTCATTTTTATTTTTATTTTGTTTTATAATCAGGTTCTAGTTCTGAGGCGTGGGGAATGAAGCCCAGGCCTCAGGTCCTTCTTGTTGTTATTTTCTTTCTTTCTTTCTTTTTTTAGTGAGGCAGTTGGGGTTAAGTGACTTGCCCAAGGTCACACAGCTAGTAAGTGTCAAGAGTCAAGTGTCTGAGGCCGGATTTGAACTCGGGTCCTCCTGACTCCAGGGCCAGTGCTGTATCCACTGCACCACCTAGCTGCCCCTACACTGTTATTTTCTGAGCTCCATCCAGGGGGGCCCAATCTCAGGCACTCCCCTCCACACCTAAGCCATGGCTACGACTCCCAGCCACACTGTCCCACAACAGATCTCTCCCCTCTGCCCTGGAACTCAAACCAGGGACTCCACTATCCTGCAAGTACCCACAGCCAGCAAGGTTTCTGCCTCTCTGCTGCTGCACTCACTGGGCTTATGCTTGCTCCTTCTCACCCACAGCCACAGCCCAGGACTGTGTCTGATGAGCACATCTGGCTCAGTGTCCAGCAAATGCAGAAGATCCTTCAGTCTTTTCCTGCTCAGGTGTCCCTCCAACCACCACACTCCATGCCCATAATTGAAAGTTCCTGAGGCCTAGGCTGGCCAGACCCAGCTGCCCTGAGGGCTTGTTTGTTGATTCAGCAGAGTTGCCTGGAGGTGTTTGTACTTCATTCAGGCCAAACCACCTTAGGGTCTTTCCTGAGGTCCTCCCAAGTTATCTTAGGAATACAACTGCTTTTGACTTTTGTTTATTTCTGCTGCTCTACTTTCACTTTGAGGTAATGTTCTGTCATTTTTGTGGAGGAAATTTGGAGAGCTTGGAATTTTCTATTTTCCCAGAATTCCTTATGTACCACTTTTAATTAAGAAGTTCATCCTATAATATGAGGGGGCAGGGCCGCTAGGTGGCAAAATGGACAGAGTGCTGGGCCTGGATCTGATTTGAGACACTAGTTGTGTGACCCTGGACGAGTCACTTAGCCCTGTTTGCCTCATTTTCCTCACCTGTAAAATGAGCTAGAAAAGGAAATGGCAAACCACTCTAGTATCTCTGCCATGAAAATGCCAAATGGGGTCACAGA